CCTCCTTAGAAACGCACTCGTTTACACTTTCAGAGGAAATACACTGGCAAATTGTTTATTACCATTGTCTTCTACGATAATCTATCTACATATTCATATATGACATGCATGTCTTTATTTTCTTTCATCTCTGTACTCAGCATCGAATCTCTGCTCACTGAGTGGAAATGTCGACTTAACCCATGAAACAGTATATGTTAACCTTGAGCAAAAAATTTTATTGGTTAAAAATCTGTTTCTAAAATTACATTAGAAAAATGACAAGATGTTTATATGGAAAATGAAACATTATAATCAAATTTTATTTATTCAAATCAATACATAATTAAAAACTGGAATTAGAAATTTTGAATTTTTAAACCTAGTCATTTCTAATTTTGCTCTTTGCCTAAGAAAATTTTTTTTTTTAAAAAGTACCCACTTCTATCTCGGGGTGGGAGTAGGTTTGATAAAATGTTCCATCGTTAAAATGATTTTGCCCTTGTTTAATGAAAGAATTTGTTCCAGTAATAAGCAGTGTGGCAAAATAAACATGGGAAAAAACTTGTACTCAGCGCATTAATTTACGAACAATCCAGAGAGATCTGAATGTAAACATGGCCTGTTAATTTGAAGCGAGAAAATAAGTTGAGAAAATTTAGGGTTCTATGGATTATTTTTTAGGATAAAAGGCATATACAATCATTTCAGAGCAGATCCACTCCAATTTGCTACATTGCAAGTAAATGGGACGTATTCTTAATGTGGTGAAGGCTTGTCCTGAGACACAGTAAGGTTGTTCTAACTAGGGGTAGGGGTCCTTTCCTAAAGCACCTGTGAATGAATGTATTTTCTCAGTGAACAAAATTCAACAAATAGATGAACTAACATCCTTTCTGATGAACTAAGTCCCTCTGGGACTTGAGTAAAAGTTCTTACCCTGCAACTTTATTTCTCAATTTCTTGCTGGGCAGGATTGCAATTTCTTCACATACTCGTTTGTTAGTATGGAAGTCCAAAGTGAGCTTAGTGTAATATTTCTCAATTATTACACGTGCTGCTTTCTTGACGGTCTTCGTTCTTACACGAGCCTATAAAGATATTAACATATAAAATACTATGAGATGTAGTAAGTTTCACAAATGCTTTCTTTTTGCATATAGAAAATAAAACTTGTGACATTTGTAGAAATGTCAACAATATATTTTATTGCGATTAAAACCAATGTTGTGTGTCCATAATTGCTTTCATAACGAGTTCAACTATTCAGGAAGGATTAAGGAATACATATGTTATAATTTTATTTCATTTTGAATGTAAATGACAGCGGGATGACACTGATTTTTTCATGTAAAGCATGTATATTCTCACCATCTTGATTTATGAGCGGAAAAGGAAGTTGAAAGAAAACGAAACGATGACATAAAAGAATTCCGGAAAATGTTCTAAAAATATAGATAAGGGTCTAACGATTTCGGGTTATAATTTGAATGAAGTTCAAAACTATCTAAATAATGAATCATTGATTTTCACAATCATATGAGGAAAAAGATGATATGTTTTATCATTCCGGAAATAAGTTTTCTAATCTAGATTTTTTTTTCATAATTTGAATTCCTAATCTCTTTTGCGCTTTATACCAATTACCAATGAAACATTTCAAAAAAGAAGCATTTTTACATTGATGCAGTGAGAAGGATTTTTCTTCAAAAATACAAATCATAATTCAGATTGAGAATATATATGAAAATACAAGTCCAGAAATGAATGCATATTCATTAAATTACCAGTGATTTCTGCATAGTCAGATTACATGTAAGTTGCACATAAATCAATTCTGCCAAAATTTTCATTGAGCTGGTTACATGATGATGTAGCTGCAGATCTGTAGCTCTCCGAAAAAAAAATATATTGATAGACTGGAGAGCTACAGTGCCACCCATTATAAAAACTGTATATTTATTGCACACAAAAAAGTGCGCTCGGTTCTTGATTTATTTCGATCTCCATGTTTTTAAAACGGTATTCTCAAAATATTACTAACCGTGTATTCCTATCATATTCTTTCAATGTTCGATGTTTCCACAACCAAACAATCCTCATAATTGTTGATAATAGTCCTCCTGACCCTGATATTGTAATCATCGAACATTTCGCTTATTTATACTGCCATTTTGGTTTCAAAGATAATTCGGTCCAATATGCTTCGTTCGGATGTCAACTACGAGAGTACTTGATAGAAGATAAAGAAATTTTTTGAAATCTTTCCTTATGTTTAATTGAGGTAAGAATTTTGAAGAATTAATCAAGAATATACAGTTTTTTCAATAGGTGGCACTGTGGCTCTCCGGTCTATCAATATATTTTTTTGGAGAGCTACAGATCTGCAGCTAATGATGATGCAGCTGCAGAACTGTCGCTCTCTGGTTGAGAGAATTCTGACAGAAAAACCAGAGAGCTACAAATCCAACCATTATAAAATCGTACGATTTTATGTATGTTGCATTATCAAATCAAGCCTGAACAGTGCAAATTTTAATAATTAAAAAAAATATTTAATCTAATATGTTGACGGTGCGACCGTTATGGCGAGCGCATATATATTCATTTTGATAATTTTGATCAGGCTCGTCAAACTGCACGTGACATTTGGTGCGTCTAGACTCTGACGTCACATGACGTCGTAAGTTACATTTCCAAAAAGAAGCCTGAACAGTGCATGCTGAAAGTAAAACTAAATGAAGAACGTTTCATTTACTATTTATCTTCAATATTTATCCATTAAATCAGGGCATGTTTACTTTTAGTTGAACTTTTGCTGCTATTCTCGTGAGAACGTAGCTTTAACAAGTGATGCATTGTGGTTCCAAATTACTGCGTCAAAAAATTCTATCGAATGAATGTGCAGTAGTCCGAATTTTCTCTTTGCACAGGCGTTGCTTTAAGAGCTCGCAGTGACAAGCGTTGCTTCATGACGCTCGCTACTATTTACCTGCTATATATCCATTAAAATTATGGAGAGTCTATTTTTCTCTTGGAATATGTTACCATGAGTATATAGTTTCTGTTTTTGTGATCCAGATGCATTTTACCAAGGATATATATTGGACAGGTACAAATACATGTAAATGTGGGAAAAAATAATTTGAATCAATGTACAAAGTCCTAGAGCTTGCAGTGCACTTGCTAATATGTTCCGACTGTTCTGGAGAGTGCAGGAACTTCAAACTCATTTGAAATTTCTCTTCTCACGTGCATCGTTAGCTCAACTGAACTGAAAGCTCAAGTGAGCTTTTCTGATCACATTTTGTCCGGGGTCCGTCTGTCTGTCCGTCTGTCTGTAAACTTTTCACATTTTCGACTTCTTCTCAAGAACCGCTGGGCCAATTTCAACCAAACTTGCCACAAAGTATCCTTGGGTGAAGGAGATTCAAGTTTGTTGAAATGAAGGGCCACGCCCTCATTCAAGCGGAGATAATTGGGAATTAATGAAAATTTGGTGGCATATTTTAAAAATCTTCTCAAGAATCACTGTGCCAGGAAAGATGAAACTTATGGGGAAACATCCTCAGGTAGTGTAGATTCAAGTTTGTTCAAATCATGACCCCCCAGGGTAGGGCGTGGGCAAAATGGCCGACCAAAGTTTTACATAGAAATATATAGGAAAATTCTTTAAAAATTTCTTCTTCTCAAGAATGACAAAGCCATAATTCATCATATATATATGGAAGCATGCTCAGGTAGTGTAGATTCAAGTTTTTTCAAGTCATGACCCCCCGGGGTAGGGCGGGGCCAAAATGGCCGACCAAAGTTTTACATAGAAATATATAGGAAAATTCTTTAAAAATTTCTTCTTCTCAAGAATGACAAAGCCATAATTCATCATATATATATGGAAGCATGCTCAGGTAGTGTAGATTCAAGTTTTTTCAAATCATGACCCCCCGGGGTAGGGCGGGGCCAAAATGGCCGACCAAAGTTTTACATAGAAATATATAGGAAATTCTTTAAACATCTTCTTCTTAAGAATGACAAAGCCATAATTCATCATATTTATATGGAAGCATGATCAAGTAGTGTAGATTCAAATTTGTTCAAATCATGACCCCCAGGGGTAGGGCGGGGCCAAATTGGTCAACCAAAGTTTTTAAAGATATATATAGGAAAATTCTTTAAAAATCATTTTCTAAAAAATAGCAAATCCATGATTGGTCATGGGACTACTTTTGGATTTAAACTTTACAATAAAAAGCCATTTTCTACTTTTTCCTACCCTTAGTGCTCAGGTGAGCAATGTGGCCCATGGGCCTCTTGTTTTTAGAGTTTGCGGTGTTTTCTTAAGCTCTCTATAAACTTGAGGTGTTTATGGAGAGTGAAAACTTATTTGAATTTTGTCTTTCCCATGTGTTGTTTTAAGAGCTCGCAGTGATTGCTGCAGCTCTCTATAAAATTGAGCTGTTAAAGTGGTTATGGAAAATGCAAACTTATTTGAAATTTTCTCTTCTCCCAGGCTTTATTTTAAGAGTGATTGCTGCAACTCTCTGTAAAATTGGTTTTAATGAACATAACTCCAATAGTAAATCCAATAAAATAAATTCAAAGGATTAAGTAGATAATATAGAGACCACTAGCTACAGAACTGTAGCATTATGGTTTTAAAGCAAGCACTGTGACAAATTAAAAAAAAAAAAAAATTATTTGTATGTAGAGATATTACTATAAAGGGCTAGAAGATGAATGAAATATACAGGTTTGTAAATGGTAATAAAATAGATCTGTAATTAGGGAACAGTGGGGAATGAAAAATAGGTTTATTCCTATACTTCATGCTGACTAATGATGGTAAATTATAAATGCGCAGAAAATCTTGTGCTGTAAATTTCAACATATTTGCATTACAGGATAGTCAAAGACTAAAATGTAAAACTATAAGGCATTAAGGCTACAGTTTTGCACCTAAAACTCAACCTTTGGATAAAACATGCATTTGAAGATGTGATTGTTTTATATAAAATTATATGTGAGTCATCATGGTCATTCAGTTATGTGTTCTGTGTTTTAGATTTTTACACAAAGTATATGCTGAAAACTTGTGAATATGGGGATCTTAGGGACAATTGGCTGGGGAATATTATTAAGTTCCAGGTAAGTACTGAAGAAATTAGTAAATGTATGTTAATGAAGAAATTGAAAAGCATATTGTTAGATTAACACCCTTATTTTATTTTTAATAATCTTTGATAAAACCCCCAAAACATTTATAGTACTTGATTCTTTTTTTCTTTAATACATGAACCATTACCATTATCAGACCATTATGACAGAGGACTTCAGATTCCATTGGAAATTTTCATCTAAGCATTGATTGATGTGAAGAACTATTGTTTCAGGAAAATATTCTTAATTTGTTTCATATTTGCATTTTCAGCACTATTGTTTATGGTACCTACTCCATCCTTGTCCATCTGTGTGAAGTAAAAGGAAAAGTTCCGTTCAAGTCTTCCTCTGTTGTACTGATCATCGAAGTAGGAAAAGTAAGAATGCTTACAGAACCCAGAATTAAAATGTAAAGGTCAATGGTTGAACTGGTTATCATTCGTTTAAGAAAAATCAGCATCACTTGTTTTGAATTTGACATTGTCTACCTTGTCAGACTATATGTAATGTACAATCTTCAGTTTGAACTATCTTAATATTTGTTTGAAAATGATAAATAAAAGTACAGCGAATCTAACTGAAATTAAGTTGCATCGTAAGTTATTGTCTAAGTTTATGTTCCATAATCATAACATATTTATTTATACTCATATTTGCCAAAAAAGGTATACAAGATTTAATTGTTCATCAAAGTGAGGTAAGCACATGCTTTTTGCCAGTGGATAAAAATTTGTAATTTTACTTTCTTAACTGACAATTACTGAACTTCATAAACCCATTTTAAACCCTAAATATTGGTAGTAGGTCACCAAAGTCAAGAGTTCTCTTTTTATTCATATATTTTATGTCATTTTCCTAATTGTAATTCTTATGCTATATATACATTTGTAAATACTTCCCCCGTCATTTGTTTTAGTTTGTTCTTTCTTTCTCAGTACATGTAGTATGTTTTTTTTCTTATTCACATTTCTTCAGATAATTTGTATTACAATATAAAATGATATGGTCAGTGAAGATCAAAGTTAGTTCCTCATGTATAGAAGTCTATGCAGCATATAACAAAATGCTCCTATCCTCTTTTCCTCTTCTTAAAGCATTATATTGATTATTGTTATTGTTATATATGTAGCAGAATTTCATTTTCACTACAGTATTAGTAACAAATTTTGCAATTACCAGTGATTCATTTAGACTTTTTGTGTACTCTGTCCAGAATGGCTGAATTGCACACAGAACTTTGCGAAGATGTTAATGTGGTTTCAAGTGCTAAGATATTTGAAAGCCAAAAGAATATTAGAATGATAGTGATACCTCACATGAAGAATTTTGAAACAAAAAATCAAATGGAAAATACTTACATACAGTTCTAAAGAAACAAAGTTTGTGTGTTGGCAGAAGAATTTTGCAAGATTTATTTTTCATTGTATTTGGCAAAATACAAAGTAAACTATAATAGATTAGTTTTGTATTTGTGGATCTTTGTTATTTTTAGTTCCTGGTGTCGTGGATACTGCTGTTATGGCAGACAAAGGGAAGCCTGCCAAAAGACGTCACATTTTTCTGCTTCCTTCAGTATTCCGTCCCAGGCTTATTATACAGCGTCAGTAACAACCTATCCATGATGATGCAGGTTTATATGGATCCCACCACATTTCAGGTAAAGTGTATAGGCTTCAGTGATACTCATACAAAAGATATTCCACATATTCATGAAAATGTTGCATGTGTTAAAAAATAAATCTGATATTTTCAAGCTTAATGGGTAATGTAGGTCATTTTGGTGATGGATATTACACAAGTTTGAGAATATTTCTTGATATTGTTTTATTGAACTACCAATATGGTAAAAAGATCTACATTTCATATTTTATTGTTTGTTACTTGGTGTTAACGATTCTTTGTTGATTTGCTGTTTGAAATGATAGAATAAATTGAATTTAACAACCAGTATTACTTTTGAGGAAATTTTTGTTGTATGCTTTTTTAATTCATTAAGTGTTCTGTACCATCATATTTTTCAAATTTTTAAATACACAGGCACTTTCAGGATTGTGCAAACTTTTCAGCTAAAGACCCTGCATGATTGCTTCTGTTTGAATGATTAGGTAAATTTACAAATTGTGGGTGAAAATTAATAAACAATTGACAGCAGTTTGCACATTTTCTTACTTACAAGGATATACATGATCTTTCTTCTTCTTACTCCTTGGCACATTAGAACCTAACTCTGATTTCATTTAGTGAGTTTTTTTAAAACAGTCTTTTCTTGATATGCAGTGCTATGATAAAAGTATTCACAATTTTTACTCAATGGCTATATTTCCACTTTAAACAATAGTCCATAAAAAGGGAAATAACTTTCAATACAGAATATTTTGAACTTTCAAAGATTTATCTTTTGGTAAAAATTGACAAAATTACATAAACTTTTGTTTGGACCATAGAATTTGGGAAATGTTGACTTTTAACAAGCTTGTTGATACCCTTGTAATATCAACTGATTTGTCAGTAAAGACATTTTACAATAACTACATGTCATGGAATTTACGTTTAAAAAGCTTCCAGTGAATGGTTGTATTGAAAGGTGACTCCATATGGAGGAATTTTCTGGGGGAGGGAGGTGACATATTGAAAAAAGACTGTAACTATTGAGGGTTTTACTTAGTACCAACATGTTCTTAAATTATTTAGCATAATGTTTTACCATTAGAAATTATTAAGATATTAATTGTCTATGCACTTAACAATAGATATTGAATACAGCTTTGTCTAATTTGCAGTTCTATTTTGTGGTAGGAAAAATACTACCCCGGTAAATGCTTCTGTGATAGATGGCTTACCAGTAAACTATATAATTTTGTAATAATGGGTTGAAAACCATAATTCTGAAATGATTGGAGACTACAAAATAAACTTGAGTGAAAACAAAGCTGTATACAACGACTTGTAATGGGAATTATTAACCATAGTTTCATTGAAAATAGTTTTTGTAGCAGACTAACATTCTGTAGTTTTGAAATAATTTGAAGTTGATTGTTTAATGTTAGA